TACAGTCACCTTAAAGTGGGCCTCTCCCCATCTGAGGATCTGATCAGTCCCTCTGTCAGCCCCTAAGAAAAGCATTTCTAGAAGGCATCGGGCTCCAAACACAGGCTTATTCTCTGGAAGGACTTGCAGCAGCTCTAACAGAAGAGAAGCCCACCAGCAGTAACAAGTTTTAGTAAGCATGCTGCTAACCTTCGTTACAACAGATTCCTGGCTAAAATCACATTTTGCACATCCCAAGGATATTTTCCTGCCCCAGAACTTCCATTCATAATGTTTGCTTGAAGAAGTTATTTCAAGGAAGCCACCAGCTTCAGTAGGCATCTGGTGTAAAAACAGAATGCCAAGGAGAGTGTATTCCCTCTGCTGGTCCAGTCATTTCTGCACGAACAAGTTCAAATTCCCCATATGGGTGGATGAACATCTACTGCACTCCTAAATATTCAGAGACACTAACTGCCATCCATTAACTGAGTTAACAGAAACCACCTTTCACTTCAGATTTACAGCTTAACAATTCTTTCTACTGAGAAAGCAGAGAATAAGCAGCTGGCCAGGCCCACAGACCACCCGCCAGCATCCTCCCCACCCCCAATTCCTTTGCTTCACTAGCAGGTGTTATCCAAAAATCTGACTCTAAGATTCAGGGACCCCCAATATTCACCTATTACAAAGTTCTTAATTGCTTAAATCAAGAGGTTTCCTCCAGCTCTAAAATCCCATTCACCTCATAAACACAAAGTCCTCTCTTTACTGTGGCTGCACTTTGCTTTCTCCGCTCTGTTGGTCCTGGAAGGACCTCGGTTCAACTAAAGGCCTGCGGGGTGGGAGTGCTTTCGTGAGTTTATTTTTCGGTAGCACAGATCAAGAATGCGGCCCCACTGCGATTAAGGAGACTAAGCTCTCAAATACTCTCTCCAGCCTAGTTTGATCATGTGAGAACCAAATACTAAGAAAGAAAAGGAGAAGCTCAGAAAGCCAATCCCCACTTTCTCCCGGGAGGAGCCCCGCTATGCTGTGGTGGTGGTGGGGTCGAGGGTGGGGGGTGGGGGGGAGCTGCCTCTTGCAAACCTTGTTTGCAAAACCCCAGTCCAGATCGGACCTGTTGCTTTTACTCCTCGGTTGGGCCTGCCCAATGCAGGGGCCCAGAGGGCCTCGGGTGCCGCCGGGCGCTTTGGGGCCTGGGCAAAGGGTCTGGCACACAACTCAAACTGTCTTGTTTTCTCAGCTGATCTAGTCCACCCGCCCAACTACAATCAGCCGTAGTCAACTGCAGTCAACTAAGTCTGACAATATTAAAGTATCTCGAACAGGAGCGCCCGATGAAAAGTGACTTTCCAACTTCTGCGGGGCGCGCGGGTGTGTAGGGGGACGTGGTGTTCCGTGAGTCTGGAAAAGGCCTGGCTCTTCCTGGAACAACGCTCCCGGTATCCACACCGCAGCGATACAGCGACCCTACACCACTTGTCACCCCCGCGCCAAACACACACGTGAAGATGCCACCTGCCGAGTTCCCAGCAAACATGCCCGAAGGAAAGGACCGCTGGAAAGTACTTTTTTTTTTTTTTTTAAAAAAAAAAAGTAAACTCTCCCGGGACGGAGGGCAGCCCCGCCTGGCACCCGAGCCGCGGTCCGCAGGGGTCGGCCCTC